CGGGCTTATATACTAAAAAAGAGGGCGTCCCGAACAAACTAGGAAAATCACGATCATTCGAGAAACTCCTGGCACACGCCACCAGCGCCAATGCACCAGCAGCGTCACGTGACTTCCGGTGTCGTAACAATATGTTTTGTTATAACGGAGTAGAATACAATTGATATTATTTATTGTGCATTTTATAACTTTGCAGTATTTTAAAATTTAGTTTACATTAAGAATAACTAAAATAAGCGATGTGAATTTTTCGTTTTATCAGTATATATCAAATGTGGTTAAATAATCAGTAGATTGTACATTCCGTGATGTTTGAAAATAGTACACATTAGCAAAAAATAACTGCGCCCCCTAATGGTTCACAGAGGCCCCAGTTTACTGACCAAACTTTTCCATTATCTAAAATTACTGCTATAGATACCTAACAAAGGTCAAAACCCGAAAAAAAACACCCGCCCATTTTTACCCGAGCATGTGCGCCAAGTTTGGTTCCGCTAGCTTGTGAGAGAGGGTATGAACTTAGTTTCAAACATAACGCCCCTAGAACATTAATTCTGAGGTCAAATTCAGATTCAGCGACCCTAAAACACATTTCTGTAGGTTCATCATCCTTATGGGTTCATTTTAGACCCAAATACCTCGATATCACATGCCAAGTTTGGTACTGCTAGTTCCAAAACATTGGGAGGAGTTCGAAAACAAACAATTCAAGAAACTCACACAAAAATTTTAATTTATGTAGAATTTCACTCTCAAATAGTATGTTTTGTATCTACACGGTTTTCAAATTTTTTTATGGTTATGTTTCGGAACTTTCTACATGCAGTTGAGGTCATGTATTAAGTTCAGCCTGAAGTGTAACTTTCTTTAGTAGGGGCGATCAGGAAAACTATATACTGTTTCATAGATTGTAGTATTGAATTCTCTTTATGTAGAAATAACCGCTAGCATGGCCTGGTGGTTAGGCGCTCGATTCGCAATTTGCAGGTGGCGGGTTCGAATCCCCGTCACCGAATATGTTCGCTCTTTCAGCCGTGAGGGCGTTATAATGTAATGGTCAATAACTTTGTTCGTTGGTAAAGAGTAGCCCAAGAGTTGGCGGTTGGTGTTGCTGACTAGCTGTCTTCCATCTATCTAGTCTATCACTGCTAAATTAGAGTCGGCTAGGTAGGTTTAGGAGATAGGTTGACTTATTGGATAGAAAACTGGTTGGATGGAAGATTTGTTTGTTTGTAATTATGCACAAAGCTACACAAAGGGCTATCTGTGCTCTGCCCACCACGGGTATCGAAACCCGGTTTCTAGCGTTATAAGTCCGCAGACATGCCGCTGTGCCACTGGGGGGCTGGATGGAAGAAAGAAGAGGGGTATTACAAATGGAGTTAATTGAAACTGGATTAATGTCACAAGTAGGGTACCTCAGGGTTGAGTCTTAGGACTCTTTTTAGATTTACATCAATGACATAGTTGAGGGAATAGTCAATAAATTATTCAAATTTGCTGATGTTATTAATGTTCCGTGTGTTTCTAGCTGTGATGCTGTGCTGCACAAGGATTTGGATTATTTGATGAGTTGGGCGAATAAATGGTAAATGGACTTTAATTTCATTAATTGTAAGGTAATGCATGTAGGATATCACAATTTAAATTATGAGTATAATTTTGCCTGGAATAACTTTAACAGTGTTATGAAAGAAAATGATCTTTGTGTTCTCGTTCATCAGCCTCTTAAGTTTACCTTAGAAATGACATTGAATTGTTGGAAAGGGTTCAGAGAAGAGCTATTAGGATGATGCCTGGAATAGAAAGGTTGTCATATGAGGATAGGTTAAGATCTTTGAAGTCGATTCCTCTTGAAAACAAAAGAGTCAGAAGAGATCTGATTGAGGTGTAAATTTAAGATTGTTAAGGAAATTAATAGTGTTGATGCATCATCTTTTTTTTCATATTTAATGATGAAAACAGAATTGCAAGAGTAGAAACACAAGTATAAATTTTGGCAAGGTAGAAGTCATCTTCAGCTAAGGCAGCTTTATTTTTTATAACAGAGTGGTTGGCCTTTGGAATGAGTTACCTTCAGATGTGGTAGAATTAATTTAAGTGAATTCAAGGTAAAGCTTGATAAATATTTGAATGATGAGGACTGGTTTTGAGAGTTTTATTTAATTATATAATTTAATACAGTGGCTGAGACAGTCTATATGGACCAATAGGTCTCTTGTTGTTCTTACAACATATGTATATAAGTATATCAAGAATGGGGAGAACACGGACTCTTAACGTCCGAAACCATGTGAAACAGCCGTCAGTGCAGCCAAGTCTCACGAGGAACACAAGCGGCTCTGTCCATCCTATATGGTAGGCCAAAGTCTCACGATGAACATAAGCGGCTCTGTCCATCCTATTTCGTAGGCCAAAGTCTCACGAGGAACATAAACGGCTCTGTCCATCCTATATAGTAGGCCAAAGTCTCACGAGGAACATAAACAGAACTGTCCATCCTATATAGTAGGCCAAAGTCTCACGAGGAACATAAACAGAACTGTCCATCCTATATAGTAGGCCAAAGTCTCACGAGGAACATAAACGGCTCTGTGCATCCTATATAGTAGGCCATATGAAAATAAACAGCCAATCACTCTTAAGGTTTTAAAAATTACAATTTATTTGAAAACTTGTATTTGGTATCTCTCTTTTTTTGGCCCCCTGGTGTAAAGAAATAGATAGAACTAAATGTTTTGGGGATGGCAAGTACTTGACCTGAGGTAGAGGTTATACTTTTTATTGACATCTTACACTGTATTCTGTATTTTGACGATAAGTTGAAGTTACTGTGTTGTTAGGTATTTCATTAGCCACTATCACAGGTCTGATTAAAATCTGGATCTGTTGCTACTTCTGGTTGAAGTTTGAGATCTGTAATAAATATATTGTTATGTCTCTGTTCGTTTGTTAATTTCCCGTAAAATTTCTTCCCGAAATACTTCAGCGATACAAGTCCTTTCTTAAATAAAACTAGTTTATTCTGTCTCAATACAACTTTGCAATACACAGAATTTCCACAGTCAGTTTAATTTAAACACACGCTATAATTTACAACGATTCACGCACGTTACTTACGACTTGACTCGATTATCTCTCTCTATCTCTTCAATCTGCAATTATTCTCGTTCCGATCCATTGCCTGGCGCACTTATATACAAGAATAGAGGGCGCGTAGAAAAGACTAGAGTTGCCATGATCCTTCTAGAATCTCATAACGTGTTACTAGCGTCACGTGACTTCCGCTGTCGTAACAATATTTTTGTCCCATTGTTAAAAACTTTCGAACATTTCTTTAGCCAAATGCTTAACCAATATGTAGACATTTTGTATCTTGTGTACAGATAAAGATGATGTTACTTTTTAATAATATGTAGTTAGCGAAAAGTTAATATCGTACTACTAACGGCTCAGTCTTGTTCTCAACTTCGCTCTTTTACCTTCCACGTGTAGCGCAAACATATGTGTTTCAAAGCCTGTTTTTATTTTCTTCTCTCGCGTTGCGTCAATATGAATCATACATAAATTTTAAAAACTACATCGCAGTATGATGCTGACGTAACAGAATTTTGGGAATTCTCCCTGCTTAGAGGTTCTCAAATATTTTATTTTCCTCTCCAAAAATCAGGTCTAGGTGGTTTTATTTATTTTGCGTATGGCTAAACAACAGTTTCGATAGAAGCTTCATTTTGGATTGTAACTGTTTCTCATATTCCATATAACGCTAAAATTCGGAGCTCGATCTTCACTGTGGACACAGCGCAGAAAGTTCATTGTGCAGCTTTGCGCTAAAATAAACAAGCGTACATAATTTATCGTTTCAATAAACTCTTTATTCGTTAAATCTCTGAAACACTTGTGTTCATCTTTATAATGAAATTATAATAAATATAACAAAAAAGTGAATTACCGGTGTCCACATATTACAACGTGTTCAGAAATTTTATGTTTCTGCTTATTAGAACAGCTAGTGTAAAGAAATGACCAAATTAACTTAGTGAAATCACTCAAATTCTAACAGTAGGATAAACCGCTATAGTAATGACATTTTAAAACATTTCTCTGTCACTAGAGACCTCCCCCCCAAAAAAAAAGTCGTGGACCTACACTAATTTAATTCATAAGT